AATCCGAAAAAAAAAAAAAATGAAAATGCACTCTTTGGAAAAACACAACTACATATCAAGAAACATCCACAAGAACACGCCCTCATTTTCCTCCACGCTTCTCGAGGAAATCTACCGTTCGGTCGACGCCAAATCGGAAGACTTCCCGCCAAAAAGAGGAAAGCCAGCGAAAAACCAGGGCATCTGTCTTGCCAAGACCAACATAATAGAAGACGAATTCAGAGCAAGCCTCACAAGGGCGCGTTTGGTTGAGAAATGGATCCAAAACGCCAAAAACCAAAAAAATCCCCCCAAAAGATCGGAAAACAACAGCGATTTGTTGTTCTTCACCTCGACCTCGAGCTCCAATTCCGACAGCTCTGGCGCGCTCTCGTCGTCCGACACGGAGTTCTTCGCCTCCCAAACAGGCCCTAAGGTGTCCTGCTTTTCAACCCGGCCCAAGCCCATCCGGACCACCTGCTTGCCGGCCCACGAGAGCAAATGGGCCGACCACGACAAATCACAAGCAGCCCACAAAATGTACTCCGATTTGAAAAAAGCAAAGAAGCAGCCGATTTCACCCGGCGGCCGCCTGACAAGCCTCATAAGCTCGATTTTCGCCAACGCAAGTGGGAAAATGCCGAAAAATGCGGGCCCAAGGTCCTGCCTCAGCAAATACTCGTTTGGGTCAAGGGAGAAGACGAAGAGTGGGGCCCACGAAGCAACGGTAAGTGTATTGGAGGAATCGAAATCGAGTAAAATGGAGAAATGTGGGAAAATTGAGGTGGGTGTGGAAAATGAGAGGAAAGGGTATAATGGTAATAAAAAGATGGATGATTTTTCGGTGATTGGTGAAATTAGGGATTGCGATGGGATTAGTGACTCGAGTTCGGATTTGTTCGAGCTAGATCACTTAGACTTGTTCGGGGATAGTAGTACATTTTGCAAGGAACTTCCGGTTTACGAAACCACTTGTTTAGATGCTAATCGTGTTATTACCGATCGTTTGATTCGGTGAATGTTGTTTGGGAATAAGATTTGCTTCTTTTTTCTTTGTTTTGTCTTTAGTTGTGAACCTTTAGTTTTTCGGATTCTTTTTGTGGTTCTTAGGGTAGCTTTTTTTTTTTTTCTTTTAAGATGCTTTCGATCATCAAATCGCACAATATTTTTGTACCTTGTGTTACTTTCTTTTTTCCAATTTTTGGGAATTTGATGATGTGAAATTAGGAAGAAGAAGAAGGAAAAGGAAAATAAATGGGAACGTTGTGGGATTTTGTGCAAAAAAATAAAAAATAAAAAGTAAAAAAGCAAGATTTGGAACGGGGACAATCACTGTAAAAGAAGGGTGGATCCTCAGTTGGTAATGAGAGAATGACAGATTTTGATAGAACAGAGGAAAAAAGTACCAAAATAGTTGAGGAAACAAAAAATAAAAAGAGATAAGATAAAAGGAAAAGAGAAAGATAAAAAAAATGTGAAGATTCGAGATCATAAATGAGAAGAATCAAATGTTCCATGTGGTGATGGTAAAGGCAATAAAATAAGAGTTAGATCGAGTGCAGCAATTTCGCTTGTAGTTTGTATGTTTGAACGTTGGACTATTATGTAAAATTTAAATTGACATTTTTTTAATTAAAATATTAGTCAATCTCTGAGTCTTTTTATTTTATTTTTTTTTAATTTGTTTCAAGTCGAGCAACTATAAAATTTTAGTTCGGCCTGGAGGACTGACATAGAAAATGAGGACAAATATTCTCCATGGGAATTGGGAAAAGTGATCGTCTTTAACTNTTTTTATTAATCTTGTTTTTTCTAATGATTTAGGAGGAATTTTTGTTGCTTCAAAATGATGTTCAAAACGGATCCCAAGGCATCCAAGTAAAGGTTAAAGTCCTGGTCTTGCTTCTTTTTCCTCCATGTGATTTGTGAGGCCAAATTTCAATTGAAAATAAAATTTATCTCCTTTTTTGTGCACTCAAAATTTTAAATTAGTGCGCAATTCATATATAAATGGGACTCGCTAATTCTCTTTTTTCTCATAACTATTTGAAATTCCATCATTTCCATGTAACTCGCCTTTTTATTATTTCAAGGATTTTGTCATAAGACTGTTAGATACTATTAGCCGTAGTTAAGACTGGTCAATATGAGACAATAGTCTGCTTTTTTATTTTTGTTCTTTTAACAACTCCCATCTCCAAGTTGTTAGACTGTAACTTTTGCGCATAATATTATTCTTTTTATGCTGTATTTTTAAATATGATATTTCATTATTTGAGTATATATATATATATTACTTTGGTTCAGAATAAATATTTCGAATATATCTATTTCATCAATTATGTCTTTTATATGTTTCGTGTTTTACACATGATTTTTTTTTGAGTTTAAAACGAAAAACCGCAGATTAAAAACATGCAAAGTCAATTTTTAGATTAGTATTATCATTAATGGTTATTGATAAATATTTAATATTATGTGTATATCTATATATTATTTTGTAATATGTGACCGAAATATATGTCTGCTTATGTTCAGTAAAGAATATTAGGTCAATACAATTAATGGCTTCTCTCTGCAGCTAAATGTGGTACCATTTGTAGGCTGAGTTTGGTCAAATTTCTACTCAGAATTTAGGATGAAAGAAACAGCCTACATTATCCCTCTTAAATTCACAGAGATAGCCTATATTATCCCTCTTAAATTCTCATGTGAGACAATCTAATTGCTGAGCCGGTCGTTATAGTCTATAATAAAAATGCATAACAAATGTCATATTTTTATCATGTTTTTAATATATTTCTTAAAGTATGACAATTTTTAATGGAAGTATACATTAGGAAAACAATATTTCAGATGCATGTTGTGGCATCAAGCTCAAAATTATACTTGACTTCTGATGTAATTTAAAGAAAATTACTGCGGATCACAACAATCTCTTTAGAAGCATCAAGCTCTTGGTGATGTTCCCAAATATCTATAAATATCTTATGAATGTCATTAACATTATAAACTTGAATTTTCAGAGTTTTTCTGCATTATTTCATAAAGTTCATGTAGCATGATTGTGTGCTCTTTGTGTTTGTTTTGTTAGTTGAAAGTTCCGAACAAAAGTAGTGTTTGCTGAAAGGCTCTTCTATTTGTTTTACTGCTTAACACAAGTTGAAAGTTTTTGTATCTTACAAGCGTTAAGACATAGATATATGAGGCTATTTCGTCTTAAAAGGGACGTATATTTATGTGTATCAACTTTATTTCTTTCACTTGTTCGGCTTTTAGTATATTATTTTAGTCATTTTCTTGATATTCACGAACACAACAAATAACAATTTAATGGTGGACCTCGGTAATAATAATAACTTTCCAAATGCAAGTTATAAATATTGATACAAACTTAGTACACTACAAAAAAAAAATAAAAAATAAATATATATATATATATATATATCATGTTCCATATGAAAATCCAACGTTGATATATTCTAATGGAAATTGCAACAGATCTTTTAATTGTATAGCTTCTTTTGGAATGATTCCAACAAAAATATTTTATTTAGAATTTTAGTGGAATTTGATTATTCCAATGACCATTTTTTTCAACACGTATATTACAGTAGGAATATTCATTGGAATATTTAATTTTTGTTTGAATTTTTGTTTTCATGCATATTTTCAATTGCTAGAAAATCTACCGTTGAAATCGTAATAATCCAGCATGAATTTCAATGAAAAACTCATTCTAACATAATATTTTCATTGGAATTTCTATTGGAATCCATTGAAAAATCCCTTCTATATATAATTTCAGAATGTGCTGAGCCTACGTGGCAAACTCTCATTCTTCGGAATCCTATTTGGCAAAAAATCATGCTTTGGAGTTAGACTTGGATATAAATTAATATTTGTATTAATTGTATTTTAATATCATTTCCTATTATAACTATTGAATTGCAAATATATGTTAAAAGTTGATAACTTTTGTATTTCTTATCGGTATTACATATATAATATATCAAATTATTCATCTTTTGATGAGCTTCGATTTGACATCCATATTGTATATATAAAATAAATAAATTATATTTATCTTTATAATAATAATAAAACTATTTATTAAAATTAATTAGAAAATAAAATTATTTATTAATTAATATATTTATGTTTAATGTAGTTATATGTTATAAGGTAGAAAATTTATTATAATATAATACATATAAGTCGCACAAGTAACATGTTTCATACTAAAATATATAATAATATATACTCCCTCATATTTTTATTATTTGTCACTTTGGCTTAATTGATCATTGCTAAAATAAATGTCGTTTTAGATATTTTGTTCATAGTTTTTCCATTTTTAACCCGACATCTAACCGTGCCCATTATTTCTTCCTCAGGCGAAAAAAAAAACCCTTTCGACAAAGCCAAGTTTTCTCACCCCAGCGAAGCCTTCCTTGGCGGCGGCACGGCGTCGGCCGGTGGTCGTCTTTGACCGCCGGCCCCCTCAGCTGAACCTGATGTTGCCGTAGTGCTCCGGCGCTAGTAGGGATGTCCTGCCCTAGGCCAACAGCGATTTTGCGGTTAGAGGGGGCGAGCCTCTAGATCGGAGATCGGGCGGAAATCGGTGGCGTTGATTGTAGGCTAGTCTCGATTGGAGGTAAGTTTTCCTTTATGCTGCGTTTGGCTGTGAATTTTGGGGTTCCCCTCGGCGGTTCGCTTTTCTGGTGGGGCTCCTTTTGGGGCTTTTCCGGTGGGGCTCTGTTTTGGGGCTTCTCGACTTGGTGCAGGTGGATTGCGGTAAGGTCGACTGGCTATGGGTCAACAAGGGGGGCGGGACTCTGGCGTTGGGTAGGATGTGGTCTCACCGACGTCAGGGTTTGAGGGACCGCTCCTGGACACCATCACCATCCTCCGTGCGGCTAGTGGTGTTAGGCGGCGGGGGTCCGTTTCACTCGAGTGCAGCTAGTGGTGTTAGATGTACTTAGGGGGAACTTGTGTGGGGGTTGGCTTGGTTGTGGTTTCCTTTATATGTTATAAGGTAGAAAATTTATTATAATATAACACATATAAGTCGCACAAGTAACATGTGTCATACTAAAATATATAATAATATATACTCCCTCATATTTTTATTATTTGTCACTTTGGCTTAATTGATCATTGCTAAAATAAATGTCGTTTTCGATATTTTGTTCATATTTTTTCCATTTTTAACCCGACATATAATACACAATGTCTCTTCATATCCCATCTCAATCGTTTCCCATAACATCCATTAAATAGAGTTAATATTAACAAGAAAAAAAATCTTAATTAGTTTGTTGCATTTGAATTGATATTATGAAGTCCGTTTATATTTTACTATTTATTTATATATATATAATACAAAACAGTAATATATATCTTTATAAATAAAATTTAAATTTATTTATCAAACTAAATTAAATTATATCAAATAAAACTATAAATTATTTTATAAAGTAATAGAAAATTGGTATATATTCTTTTAAAAATGATATTTATTTCAAATCTAATTGGTATGTTGTCAATGTAATAAAAATAAATAATTATTTATATAAATTCTAAAATTACATATAAAGTTAAAAAATTGTGAAGCACGACTGACACGACACTTGATATATTAGGTATCTAATTAAGTAAAAAATTAATCTATATTGTTGAAATTAAATAAACATATTCTACACTTATGCATATACATGTCACCATATTATTTCTATTTATTTAAGATATATATTTTTGTACTTATGTAATAGTAAATAATATCAATATTTTTATATGATATAAGTAAAAAATTCAACACGAGTTGACATTTTCATTTAATGTACGGGTATTTAATTATTATAATTAAAAAAAATATAATTTGACAATTTAATGAAAACCCAAAGTAATGTTTTATATAAAATTAAATTATTTTAGTTTTTAAAAAAATAAAATATTTAATATTTTTTTACAAAAGCTTTCTAATTCAACACCCGTGTAATACACGGGTATTGTACT